GTCGAGACTCAGCGCCTGGCCCCGCCTCTTCACTGAACGCTACTAGGTCCTCTCTCTCCTCCTCCATGAGCTTTATCATACCTCGTCTTAAAGCTATGTATGGTTCCTGCCTCCACTACATCACTTGCTAGACTATTCCACTTCCTGACTACACTGTGACTGAAGAAATACTTCCTAACATCCATTAGACTCATCTGAGTCTTCAACTTCCAAGTGTGACCCCGTGTTTCTGTGTCCCCTCTCTGGAACATCCTGTCTCTGTCCACCTTGTCTATTCCACACAGTATTTTGTATGTTGTTATCACGTCTCCTCAAACCCTCCTGTCTTCCAGTGTCATCAGATCGATTTCCCTTAACACTTCTTCGTAGGACATTCCCCAGCTCTGGAACTAACCTTGTCGCAAACCTTGGCACTTTCTTGACGTGCTCTGTGTGTACTCACCTAATTGTACTCACCTAATTGTGGTTGCAGGGGTCGAGACTCAGCTCCTGGCCCCGCCTCTTCACTGATCGCTACTAGGTCCTCTCCCTCTCTGCTTCCTGAGCTTTGTCATACATCTTCTTAAAACTATGTATGGTTCCTGCCTCCACTACTTCACTTGCTAGGCTATGTGTGTGTGTGTGTGTGTGTTAGTTACCATTTTGTCCTAGGCACATCTCGATTAGACACTAGGCCTGTTGTATATGTGTGTGTGTGTGTGTGTGTGTGTGTGTGTGTGTGTGTGTGTGTGTGTGTGTGTGTGTGTGTATGTGTGTGTGTGTGTGTGTGTGTGTCGTGCCGAATAGGTAAAACTTGCGAATTTAGCCTAAATAGCAACGCTCTTCTTGCCATTTTAATTTATATATATATATATATTATATATATATATATATATATATATAAATATATATATATATTATATATATATATATTATAATATATATATATATATATATATATATATATAATTTATATATTATATATTATCACTATATACATATTATTCATTCTTTTCAAGTACCAGCGTACACGAGTGGGTGCCAAAGGAAAAACGAAAGTTTCTCCTTTTTTAGTTGCCTCTTACGACACGCATGGCTTACGGAGGAAGAATTCTGTTCCTCTTCCCCATGGATATATATAATATATATATATATATATATATATATATATATATATATATATATATATATATATATTATATATATATATATATATATATATATATATATATACGTATATATGTCTCGGTGTATATATGTCAAGAATGATGCACTCAACAGAATATATGATATGAATATATACTTCGATTTTCAGAACTAATGTTCGCTACTACTGATGTCTTCAAATAACTCATTTATAAAACTCAAAAAAAAAAACGAGCGAATATCTAAAAAAAATTACTCTGCGAAATAAGTTAAAACAATATACTCTAATGATCATCTGTTTTCTCGTTTCTTCTTAAATTTTTTTATAAAATTGGAATTGATGTGCATTTTGTGAATTTGTGAAATTAAAAAAGCGTGACTATTTATGTTGCAAGACGTTGATACTGTATTAAATTTACAATATATACTATTTTATTGTGACTAAACTGATGAGGAAAGAAATAAAAGATAATATGTAATGTTTCATAATTAGTGAATTGCTTTACAAAATGAAAATTCGTGGATTATAACAGATAGATGAAGGAGTGTCATTTTAGCATTTTTTTTACTCATTAAATTTTTGGTATTACCATTTTGATCTTTCACACATAATGGATAGTTACAAATTAAAGTGAGGGGAAAATCCAGTATCACCAGACTACTTATATTGTTACAGCTAAATTGTAAAAATATCAGATAATTTCATATATTGGGTTCCAGAATTTCACTGGTAATGTCTAGGATAAAATGGCTGGTGAGAACAAATAATTTTTATTGCTTATTTTTTTGATAGTAAAACATCTTTTAAAAATTAACCAATGTATTTAAATTAAACAATAGATAAGTGGCTAATAAATTTAATATATTTGTATATAAATGCTACATGAAGCCATATAAAGATTTCTTGATTAGGAAATGTGCAAGTTGTGGAGACAGAATTGCCGGTATGAAATTCTCATATGTACATTTACTTGTTTTTATATAATCCCTATCACAACTTTCCTCACAAGTCTAACAGTTGCTAGTGAAGGAAGTGACAGGCTGTTCGTACACAGTGTTGCACAACACACTTTAAGATTTTTTCACAACTTTATTAGCAAGTTTCTTCTGTACTAACGCAAGTTATGATAAAGAAGACATCATTATAGTTATTTATTTGTTGCCGCAATTAGAGTTATTTTATTAACTCATGATAATCCAAAAAGCCCAGGCACACTGGATTGTCTCTATAGGAATCCGTCTTTAGAATACGAACCATAACAGCAGACTAACACCCAAGTGCTTAGTTACTGTTAGGTGAACAGGAACAGTAGGTCTAGGAGATTCCTGTATCACATGTGTCATCCAGGAATCTGAGTAGTATGTATGGTGTTGCATCTCACAGAAGAGGCAAGATTCGAACCCATGACACATCAGTTTTAAAACTAGCAGACATTGTAACCTGTTCTTCTGAATTGCCGTTAATTCATTTCTGCCCGTTCTGGCTTACTACGACAATAAAAAAAATAATATTCTCGATTAGATTAAGTTAGGATTTGGTTAGTTTCACGTATGTTAATTTATATTTACTTATAAGTAACTAACAGTAATGAAATATAAAAAAGGCAGGTTACGTGTGGCAGCACGGGACTTGTCTTACTATCTCAGCATTTTATCCTCAGATTAATATACGAGTTATTCAGTTTATCTTCATAAGTAGCATTTCAACATATGTATAGCTCAGAATGCAAACGGGCGAGAGATATATCATAATATACACTTGGAAAATCGTAGAAGGAATGGTCCCGAATCTGCACACAGAAATCACTCCCTACGAAAGTAAAAGACTAGGCAGGCGGTGCAAAATATCCCCAATGAAAAGCAGGGGCGCCGTTGGTACACTAAGAGAAAACACCGTAAGTGTCCGGGGCCCAAGACTGTTCAACAGCCTCCCACCACGCATAAGGGGAATTACCAATAGGACCCTGGCTGCCTTCAAGAGGGAGCTGGACAGATACTTAAAGTCGGTGCCAGATCAGCCGGGCTGTGGTTTGTACGTTGGACTGCATGCGGCCAGCAGTAACAACCAGGTTGATTAGGCCCTGATCTACCGGAAGGCCTGGTCCTGGACCGGGCCGCGGGGGCGTTGCTCCCCGGAATACCCTCCAGGTACACTCCAAGTTGCCACCAGACACAAGTCATAAACGCACTTAACATAAAACTGGTAGTTTTTTCACATATATAATTTTTCTTTTGATTTTTCTACTAGCATTTAAGTTAGGTTTGACTGGTCAGATTATTATTAATTGATAATAAACAATTTGGGGAGTATGGCGAGTCGAACAGACAAAACGTTGAAAAATATGCCTATGAGGCTATAAGTACTTATGATACTTATATTTGAATGCATGAGCCGTATATTGTTTTTTACTCAACAAACTCGTATATGTATGTTGAAATAGCTACTTAAAATTAGTAAATAAAAAGACTGTGAATCTGGGTACTGGTTGATCCTAGTGTTCGTTTCCGTTAAACGACGTTAAAAAAAAATGGATAACGCGCTGGATGTAGACTAACAGAAACATTTGTGTGAGGAACTTGTGACTTTAAGAAAACTTACAACCAACTCATAGTAGTCGCGAAACAGCTTGACCTCCTCACTGATTTTTAAAAGAGTTATTTCGTTCTTGAATATATTTTGTGTAGTTCCATATTTTATCGGGATGTATAAGATATGAAAAGTTCCAGAGTTGTTTTGACATAATTTAAATTGCAGTTTTGTAGATATACACTAATTCCTAATAATCTTTCAGCCCTGCAGTAGAATTAACCCCAAGCCTCAGTACGAGTAAGGTGGTTAATAGTAAATATTTGTTAAATGTGAATGAATGTTGCTTAGTAACTATATATATATATATATATATATATATATATATATATTATATATATATTATATATATATATATAATATATATATATATATATATATATATAAACATTATCGCTTAGTCCACAGCAGGATTCGAACCTGCAAACTAGGTATCAGAGTACACAGTACTTTATCCACACAGATAATGTTTGTATATAATTTCGGCCGTTTGCGAATTGTTAAGCATTTTAGGCTGAATTTGCTATCTTATCTTACAGAGCAACAATCACTTTCCGAAACAATGCAAATTCATTGTTTCAAAAACTGTGAAAATCAGTCTGAAAATCAACAATCATGTTTAATTGATGGCAAATAATACTGACTAAATTTAGGCTGTCATAGAGTAGGTCGGGAAGGATTAAGCTAAATTACATTAATGTACGTTAATATTAACAAGGTTAAGTTTGCTTGCTTAGTTGAAGTGCAAAATTAAAAATTTCTGAACTGTAAATTCACAAAAATATATCTATTAATGCTTAAGAGAAAATCTGTTGAAATATCAAGTTTTAGAGCAGTTTGGTTTGTTTGACCAACTCTGCCTAAAACAAGAGGACATAACACACGCAGATAGGCAGGCAGGCACACACGCACACACGTACTGAGCAGGGCCAGGAGCTGTGACTCGACCCCTGCAACCACAAATAGGAGAATACACACATACATATATCAGCTATTTGGCAAGTAATCGAATGTCAGCTGTAGAAAATGTCACTTATGTGTCATATTGCGACCTCAAGCGTTATTTACACATACTAAATAATACAGATATCATCCTTAAAAGATAATATCCCACTAATATTCCATACACCAGCGAAGTATGATCAGAAAACCAAGGTTCGTGACCTAGAGTGACTCTGCATCTGTTTTCCAGCTCAGACCAAGACAAATCATATATTATCTAGATTAAAGCTGATATTTTGTATATTTTTAGAAGTTTATGGAGTTATGTTACAAAACTGGTCTATCATTTGGAAGAATGCAAAATCACACTATTGTTTCATGCTACGTCTAATTGTAAAGGTAATTCTATAATAGTTCAGAACACCAAAGGAAACAATAATGAAGGTACTACACGCAGCGTAATGTACAGTGGACTGGTGGGTCTCTGGGATGGCACCAACACACGCACGCACACACACACACACGCACACACACACACACACACACACACACACACACACACACACACACCACACACACACACACACACACACACACACACACACACACACACACACACACACACACGTTTCCATCAAAGTTACTGGACCTGCATCCATATTACTTTACTTTTAAAATCACATTTCATTTCCGAATAAACAACCTCAAGAAGATAGGTTTGCGATGAACTCTTAATTATGCGTTAGTCCGAGAAGGCATTTACATGAGCCACGTTTGGTGCTACGTTACTAGGCGCGGCTTTTGCTGGATGCCAGTGGAAACTTGCTGTTATGCCAACGTGACTGCTTTCTAGAGACTAGCGAGGAAGAGCATGATGATGAGGAGGGAGGAAGTAGCACACTGACATCTCGTCCCACTGGTAGACTGTAGGACCGCCATGGCTGCAACACCAAGATATTTTTAAAAAAATACACATATTTTAATTCAGATTAAAAAATCAAATCTTTATTTCCACATAAAGCTTCCCTTGGTTACAAATGGCTACATAAAGTGAAGTTTAATGGAAAGCCATTTAATATGTAGAGTCTGTTAGGTTACATAAGATTCGTCAGGAAACAGGACAAGTATTTCCTGACGCGGGTCAAAGTCATATGATTACCCGCAGCTGGAGCTTTTGCTTATCTGACTGAGGCCTTCTACTGGCTCACCGGTCCACCTCTTTAGAAATTCTGGTAACTTTTATGTTGAGTATTTTCAGGATTATGGTACCTGAGTGTATGTGCCAGTTCTGGAATAAACGGGTTCGAAAATGATACCCATTTTCAGTCGTATAAGAAAATATTTCATTTTTCATTTTTAAGCAGTTGGAATGTACATATATACCTCACGAGTTACTAGACAAGGACAGCTGAGGGGCTGAAGGTAAAATTTTTGAAATTGGCACCTACTGGATCCAATAACAATCTAAAGCTTCTTCATCTAAGAAAGATGGATAAACATTGGTTTGAGGTCAGATAAATGAAACATTCGTATACATTATTATAAGTGTTTAACTTCTTTAAAATGTAAAAATTGGCAGCTACACAGCCCAAGATCAATACTTTTTTTCATTTAATTTAACTACACCAGCTTTTAAAGTCGATGAGAAAGATATTCTCGTTATTGCTTAAAAAACCTGTTTAATAAAACTGACAAATTAAAATTTACACAGCCCAATATCAATTCAACCCTCCTATCATCGGTGTAAGGTTGAAGCCGGTAAGAAGAGGCCTTCTTCAATTATTTCTCAGCATACAATGATTAATTACGATAGAAAATTGGCAAATTTGTATCTACAATTCCTGAACTTACTGAGTACCATGCTGTCTGTAAGATACACTAGCCCGTGAAGATTGAAGCCATTCAGAAGAGGGATACTAAAGTTATCGCACGAAAACTAGACTCGGCCAGTAGTTTCATGAATCTTCCCTTAGCAGCATTGGAAATTTGAAGCCGACCAGACGAGTTTCAAGTTACAAACGAAAATATTGGAGGAAGAAAAAAATCAAACAAACATTTAGAGATACCCCTAAGGAGATATCTAGTAATAACACCAAGGGGCTTACTGTACTTGCCTTTCTTTGTGGAGAAGGAGAAGTGTTGCGACTCGGCCGACCAGCCGTACTTGTTCCTGACCCTGATGACGGCCACGTAGTCCGTCGCAACCTCCAGCCCCGTCAGTGTGAAGGCCATAGAATGTTGGGTGTCCTCGTTCACTTTCTCGGAGTCCACGACCCTAGATACATTTTCCCACGACCCGGCCATCACCATAGTGCGATTGGCCTACGGGACGAATTTATTTTTAATTAGGGGGAGCTGTTAAACCCATAGGAGTTATTTAGCGCATGGAGAATGGAAAGTAGTTATTTACTCCGCCCTTAAGTAGTACGGCATTAATCCAAGGCAGCATCAGTCATCAACAGTATTTGACACTGAAGAAAACGCAGGCTGCAGAACAGTTTTATTGGGACAGTTTCACTGTGTAGATCTTTAACAAATCATGACTTGATAAAGCCCTACACAGATCGAAACGTTATCAAATAAAAGTTTTTTCTTCAACCTGTGCCTTTTCTCAACATTTGTCGGTAATATACTATTTGCATGCCTGTTATTCGACTTATCATTGTGTAATAATCCCCTAAATATTGCTTTTATTTATTTTTAAAATGTCTGGATTAGGCTCCATCATTTGCCTGCGTAATATTTTGGCTACCTCTCACGAGATGGACACAGGGTGCATATGTTATCAAACATTGTAAAACTATCCATCTTTCGACGGGAGGTGCCTTGATGCTGTTGAGGGGCTCTTGATCTAAGAATTAAACGTATCCTCCTCTTCCTTGAATCGAATGCCACCCATTCTCCAGGCATTAGTCATGAGGGTTTAGCACTTCTCGTGATTAAAATAAATATAAAACTCCAGTTTTACGTCTAGCAACTACGTCATTACTTCTAGTTATATGACTTGCAACTACACCACTGTCTAATTATACCACTTGTAACTACACTTCCACTGCCCAGTTATACCATTGGCAAGTCTACCACTCTTACCAGGTGGTTACACTACTGACTAGTTAAATCACTGGTAATTTCACAACTTATTATTATTTTCCAAAAAACCGGTCGTATCCCACCGAGGCAGGGTGACCTAAAAAGAATAAAAGGGATTTTTCCTTTTACATTTAGTAATTTACAGAAGGGGTTACCAGCCCTTGCTCCCGGCATTTTAGTCGCATCTTACAACAATCATGGCTTACGGAGGAAGAAATCTTTTCCACTTCCCATAATGATAAGAGTAAATAAATAAGAACAAGAACTATGAAGAGAATAGAAGAAAAGACAGATGGGTGTTTAAATATATATGGATGTACATGGATGTTTATATGTGAAACACTGTATGGTTTAGTACCAGTCTACCACGAATAGATAGCAAGAATAACACCTGTTATTCCCTCGTGTTTTATGAGAAAGAAGATACCTGGCATCCTACACTGTGGTAGAATCAATTACAGGATATTTATTATTGTTATCATTATTATATATTAAAAATGCTAAACTCTTATTACTGCTGTCAACTTATACCAAAAATTACTACACTACTGTAAACTAGTACCACTATTTATTACACTATCAACTTATATATTAATTACCACACTATCGTTGTATACTATTAATTACTATACTACTGCTAGCTTATGCTTCCACAAGTTACTGCAGTACAGTCAACTTTTACCACTAGTTACTACAGTACTGTCAACTTTTACCGCTAGTTACTACACTACAGTTAGTAAGTTTATTCAGGTAAACACAAATACAGTTACATAGAATTATCATACATAGCATCATATGTTTACCTGGAGTTTACCTGGAAGAGAGTTCCGGGGGTCAACGCCCCCGCGGCCCGGTCTGTGACCAGGCCTCCTGGTGGATCAAAGCCTGATCAACCAGGCTGTTGCTGCTGGCTGCACGCAAACCAACGTACGAGCCACAGCCCGGCTGGTCAGGTACCGACTTTAGGTGCTTGTCCAGTGCCAGCTTGAAGACTGCCAGGGGTCTGTTGGTAATCCCCCTTTTGTATGCTGGGAGGCAGTTGAACAGTCTCGGGCCCCTGACACTTATTGTATGGTCTCTTAACGTGCTAGTGACACCCCTGCTTTTCATTGGGGGGATGTTGCATCGTCTGCCAAGTCTTTTGCTTTCGTAGTGAGTGATTTTCGTGTGCAAGTTCGGTACTAGTCCCTCTAGGATTTTCCAGGTGTATATAATCATGTATCTCTCCCGAATGCGTTCCAGGGAATACAGGTTTAGGAACCTCAAGCGCTCCCAGTAATTGAGGTGTTTTATCTCTGTTATGCGCGCCGTGAAGGTTCTCTGTACATTTTCTAGGTCAGCAATTTCACCTGCCTTGAAAGGTGCTTTTTAGTGTGCAGCAATATTCCAGCCTAGATAGAACAAGTGACCTGAAGAGTGTCATCATGGGCTTGGCCTCCCTAGTTTTGAAGGTTCTCATTATCCATCCTGTCATTTTTCTAGCAGATGCGATTGATACAATGTTATGGTCCTTGAAGGTGAGATCCTCCGACATGATCACTCCCAGGTCTTTGACCTTGGTGTTTCGCTCTATTTTGTGGCCAGAATTGTTTTGTACTCTGATGAAGATTTAATTTCCTCGTGTTTACCATATCTGAGTAATTGAAATTTCTCATCGTTGAACTTCATATTGTTTTCTGCAGCCCACTGAAACATTTGGTTGATGTCCGCCTGGAGCCTTGCAGTGTCTGGAATGGAAGACACTGTCATGCAGATTCGGGTGTCATCTGCAAAGGAAGACACGGTGCTGTGGCTGACATCCTTGTCTATGTCGGATATGAGGATGAGGAACAAGATGGGAGCGAGTTACTGTTGCCTTGTGGAACAGAGCTTTTCACCGTAGCTGCCTCGGACTTTACTCTGTTGACGACTACTCTCTGTGTTCTGTTAGTGAGGAAATTATAGATCCATCGACAGACTTTTCCTGTTATTCCTTTAGCACGCATTTTGTGCGCTATTGCGCCATGGTCACACTGTTCGAAGGCTTTTGCAAAGTCTGTATATATTACATCTGCATTCTTTTTGTCTTCTAGTGCATTTAGGACCTTGTCGTAGTGATCCAATAGTTGAGACAGACAGGAGCGACCTGTTCTAAACCCATGTTGCCCTGGGTTGTGTAACTGATGGGTTTCTAGATGGGTGGTGATCTTGTTTCTTAGGACCCTTTCAAAGATTTTTATGATATGGGATGTTAGTGCTATCGGTCTGTAGTTCTTTGCTGTTGCTTTACTGCCCCTTTGTGGAAGTGGGGCTATGTCTTGTTTTTAGTAACTGTGGGACGACCCCCGTGTCCATGCTCCCTCTCCATAGGCTGGAAAAGGCTCGTGACAGGGGCTTCTTGCAGTTCTTGATGAACACGGAGTTCCATGAGTCTGGCCCTGGGGCAGAGTGCATGGGCATGTCATTTATCGCCTGTTCGAAGTCATTTGGCGTCAGGATAACATCAGATAGGCTTGTGTTAACCAAATTTTGTGGCTCTCTCATAAAAAATTAATTTTGATCTTCGACTCTCAGTCTGGTTAGCGGCTTGCTAAAAACTGAGTCATATTGGGACTTGAGTAGCTCACTCATTTCCTTGCTGTCATCTGTGTAGGACCCATCTTGTTTAAGTAGGGGCCCAATACTGGACGTTGTTCTCGACTTTGATTTGGCATAGGAGAAGAAATACTTTGGGTTTCTTTCGATTTCATTTATGGCTTTTAGTTCTTCCCGCGATTCCTGATCCTATAAGATTCCTTTAGCTTAAGTTCGATGCTTGCTATTTCTCTGACCAGTGTCTCCCTACGCATTTCAGATATATTGACCTCTTTTAGCCGCTCTGTTATTCTTTTCCGTCGCCTGTAAAGGGAGCGCCTGTCTCTTTCTATTTTACATCTACTCCTCCTTTTTCTTAGAGGAATAAGCCTTGTGCATACATCGAGTGCCACCAAGTTAATCTGTTCTAGGCATAAGTTGGGGTCTGTGTTGCTTAGTATATCTTCCCAGCTTATATCGGTTAGGACTTGGTTTACTTGGTCCCACTTTATGTTTTTGTTATTGAAGTTGTATTTGGTGAATGCTCCCTCGTGACTAGTCTCATTATGTCGGTCTGGGGCTCCACGCATACATGTCTGAACCTCAATTATGTTGCGATCTGAGTACATTGTTTTTAATATGGTGACATTTCTTATCAGATCATCATTGTTAGTGAAGATGAGGTCTAGTGTATTCTCCAGTCTAGTAGGCTCTATTATTTGCTGGTTTAAATTGAATTTTGTGCAGAGATTTAAAAGCTCGGTGAGTTGTGAGTTTTCATCAGAGCTGCCTCCTGGTGTTATTACTGCAACAATATTATTTGCTATATTCCTCCATTTTAGGTGGCTTAAGTTGAAATCCCCCAGGAGCAAGATGTTGGGTGCAGGAGCTGGAAGATTTTCCAGACAGTGGTCAATTTTTAACAGCTGTTCCTGGAATTGCTGGGATGTTGCATCCGGAGGCTTGTAGACTACCACAATGACTAGCTTTTGGTTCTCGACCTTTACTGCTAAAACTTCCACTACATCATTTGAGGCATTAAGCAGTTCTGTGCAAACAAGTGACTCTGCAATGTACAGGCCAACCCCCCCCCCTTTTGCCTGTTCACTCTGTCACATCTGTATAGGTTGTAACCTGGGATCCATATTTCGTTGTCCAAGTGATCCTTTATGTGGGTCTCAGTGAAAGCCGCGAACATTGCCTTTGCCTGTGCAAGCAGTCCACGGATGAAAGGTATTTTGTTGTTTGTTGCTGGCTTTAGACCCGTTGCTGGCTTTAGACCCTGTATATTTGCAAAGAAGAATGTCATCGGACTGGTGGTATTGTTGGTACTGGGGATGGGGGGATTTTTTTTCCGGCATTAGTATCTGTATCTGTTGGTTTGGAGTGGAGGTCATGGACTGTGGTTCCACTCCAGGAATGACTGGATTTGGTGTACGATTTCTGCCATTTCCTGCCAGTTTTTTTTCCTTCCTGGCACTAAAAAAACCTCTCCCTCTTGAGTGGCTGTGGCTACCCAGGTTTTCCCATGGCCTGGATGTTTTGTATCTTTTTGTCCCCTTTAGATGGTGTGCCTGGCAATTTAAGTTATAGCACAGTCTTTCCTGTAATGAAGAGGTACGCATTTCAGGGTGAAAAAGCGTACAGGAAGGGAGTTTGCATTTTCCTGTTGTCATATGGGCATGGCATTTTCTAGGGTGGTCATAGTTGCACGTCCCGTCGGTTTTTCCAGATTTCCCATGTCTGCAGATACCAAGTGCATAGTGTGTGCACAGGCTTGGTTTCCGTTTGCCTTGGGTTTCTGTGACTGTATTCCCTGTTGGTGCATGTTTCCCTGTCTTATTCCTATCCTCCCTAGCACCAACAATGGAGCTCCCACCAGTTGTTTTTGGTAATATATCCTCACTATTGCTAGTGAAGTCCTCTTGTTTGCTATTTCCTGTGGTATTTCTAGTTTGCAATATTGGTTTTATCTTATCTTTGACTACACTTGTTTCCCCACTATGGCTCCTGTCCCCTATGAGGTCATTTATATGTATTCCTTCCTGCGTATAATTCCCGACTACCTGGACAAAATCTCCAGCTTCACCATTACTGTCTCCCAGGACAGCACCTCCAGCTTCACCATTACTGTCTCCCAGGACAGCACCTCCAGCTTCACCATTTCTGTCTCCCAGGACAGCACCTCCAGCTTCACTATTACTGTCTCCCAGGACAGCACTATCAGCCCCACATTTACTGACTACCAGGACATCACCTCCAGCCTTACAGTTTCTGACTACATGGCCAGTATCAAGGGCAGTACCATTCAGCCCAGACTTTTTATGTTCCCATCTGTTGTAGAAAGCTTCCAGGTTGTCTATGAAAGCAGCTTTGATGTTATCCTCTTTTAATACCCTTGTGATTTTAGTCCACAGATTTATCTCATTTGGGCATACCCAAAAACACTTCCCTGTTTTAATACTGTATGTGTAGAGAACCTAGGATAACCCAAAAAAGTCAGACAGAGTGACTTATTTCCATTGGGGTCCTTTTACCTTATTATTATAATATAATGATTATAATATTTCTTATTATTCTATAATGAAGATAACATCTTATTATCACACTAAAAAGACTATCTACTACACGAGGGTCATTAAGACTATCTACAATACGAGGGTCATTACTAGGAATAAGGTAAAATTTACACGTATGTTAGCTAAAAAATAGAAAATCATTCCCCTCCCTTTCTGTAGCTACATTCATCAGACACCTTTTGGCACTCTTCTTGAACTGGTTCATGCTATGACTGGCTTTGACATGTGCGGGTAGTCTGTTCCATTTCTTTATTGCTGTACAATAAAAGGTGTTTGAAGCCTGGCCAATGACTGTGGGTACTACAAAGTTGTGCTCTCTTCCCCTAGTACTATGATTGCTTTGGTTCCCAACCTTGACAAAATTGACAGCAAGATATTCTGGGCACTGTTTGTGAGCAATTTTATAAACATGATTTAGCTTCAGTTGTTTTACTCTGTCTTCAACATTCAGCATATCCAACTGCTGTAATTCATCCTGGCCTACATGTTCTCTTGGTCCCAGCCCCAGGATGAATCTTACGATTTTGTTCTGGGTGATTTGCAGTCTATCTTTCAGTTTTTTTTTTTTGTCAAGGCAGAGTACCATGAAGAGCAAGCGTAATCCATATGGCATTGTATAAGGGCTAGACATAGGGTCCTGCGAGCCTCAGTAGGTAGACACTGTGCTTGTCTATACAGGAACCTCAGTCTGGCACTCGCTGTCTTTACTACACTGTTCCCTATCAATTCTCCTGACATGCATGGGTCAAAGGGGATTCCCAGATATTTTACTGATGAAACCAAAGTGATGGGCTCCCCATTACACTGGACATTAAAATTATTTACCCTTCTCAGTTTATGTTTCGTGCCAAAGAGAATGGCTTCAGCTTTCCCGAGGTGTAATGATACAGTTATCTTTCACTACTAGTTACTACAGTACTGTCAACTTTTACCACTAGTTACTACACTACAGTTATCTTTTATTACTAGTTACTACAGTACTGTCAACTTTTACCACTAGTTACTACACTACAGTTATCTTTTACTACTAGTTACTACAGTACTGTCAACTTTTACCACTAGTTACTACACTACAGTTATCTTTTACTACTAGTTGCTACAGTACTGTCAACTTTTACTACTAGTTACTACAGTACTGTAACTTTTACCACTAGTTAATACAGTACTGTCAACATTTACCACTAGTTACTACAGTACTGTCAACTTTTATCACTAGTTACTACGGTACTATTAACTTTTATCACTAGTTACTACAGTACTGCCAACTTTTATAACTAGTTACTACAGAACTGTCAATTTGTATCGCTAGTTACTACAGTACTGTCAACTCTTACCGTTAGTTACTACTCTTATTATCAACATTTACCGTCAACTTTCACTACTAGTTACTACACTGTCAACTTATACCACTAGTTACTACATTACTGTGAATTTATACCTCTAATTACTACAACTTATACATCAAGTAAAAGTATCCGGAATAAAAATTACATTTTATTAGAATTTCTTTTGTTATTTTACAAAAAAAAAAAATCCTACAGTTAATTAAGGCTGGAATGAGCAAATACATAATCATATATATTTACGTTGATAAAACATTTTAATTTGTCTATACTATATAAAAATGTCAGAAATAGCTTGTAGAAAAATAGTGGTGGCACAAATATAGAAAATGGTAGTGACTATAGCAGAGGAAGTGGTAGTACTAAAACAGAAAGTAGAGATGGCAGTAGCCGAGTAAGTAGTGGTGGCAGTAGTCGAGAAAGTAGTGGCAGTACGGGAAGAGGAGTGGCAGTCACAGTAGTCGAAAAAGTAGAGGCACTAGAAGGGGAGAAGGTGGTAACAGTATTAAATTCAGTAGTTGTGGCAGTAGCAACTGCATAAGGAGCACTAACATATGCTGGCAAATGGCTCATTATTCAACACTTTCCAGTTCATAATCAGTACCCATCATTGCCACAGTACCCACTAACGCAACACCAATACCCACTGCCCCAGTAGTCATAACCGCAACACTACCCACTGCCCCAGTACCCACGCACCACTGCCCCGGTATCCAGCACTCACCTGCCAGCCTCCCAGGTGTGTCTTGCGGTATTTGATGAGGAACTCAGTGATGGGGTAGTAACTCTCAGTATCCCAGGTGAGCGTGTACATGGTACTCTCACCACCATTGGGGCTGCTTGTCACATGCGGTGGCTTAGGCAATCCTGAAGGAAAGAGAGAATGATTAGCGAATCTTGGAAGAATGGCAGGTGGCTTAGCGAATCCTGGGAGGAAGAGTGGGAATTGGCCCTGGGAGCCTTTGAGAAGAGGGATAGTGTAAGGGTTTTTAAAGGAACCCTTAAGAAGAGGGTAGTGTAAGGGTTTATAAAGGAACCCTTAAGGCTTAGCGAATCCTGGGAGGAAGAGTGGGAACTGGCCCTGGGAGCCTTTGAGAAGAGGGATTGTGTAAGGGTTTTTAAAAGAACCCTTAAGAAGAGGGGTAGTGTAAGGGTTTATAAAGGAACCCTTAAGAAGAGGGGTAATGTAAGGGTTTTTAAAGGAACCCTTAAAAAGAGGTTGTAGTGTAAGGGTTTTTAAAGAAGCCCTTAAGAAAATGGGTAGTGTAAGGTTTTCAGAGAGCTCTGAGAAAAAGGGCTAGTACAGTATTCTTTTAGGGAACCCCTCGGGAAACGTATACGTTACTTGACAGTGTTGGGAGATAGGAAGAGGTGGTTAAGAGAGCTCTGGAGGAAGCTCAGCAGGTGGTTTGAGGAGATCTGGAGGGATAGGTGAGTCTGAAGGAGCTTAGCAGGTGGCTTGATGAGCTCTGAAGGGATAGGTGAGTGTGAAGGAAGCTCAGCAGGTGATTGATGAGCTCTGAAAGGAGCTCGGCAGGTGGCTAGAGCTCTGGTGAATGAGATTATTATTATATTCATGGGTAAGTGCTAAACCTGTAAGGGTAGTGTCCTGGGGAAGGAGATGTAATTAAGTTTGATTCGACGAGAATATGATGGTGGCAGGCGAGTTAAGGAGTCTTGAGCTGACGAATCTCATGTGGTTTTGTTCCTAGTAGAGTTACGATTACAACTCAGTTATTAAGAAACTCTTGGTGTAACTAAGGATGAATAAGTCACGTGTCTAATACCTATCATTACCGAGAGACGTTTTGCCCACCAGGGTAATTTATCCACTCAGGTGTTGCATACGTGTCTCATTCATCAACTAGCCAATATCGTACACTTTTGATTTAAGAAATATGTGGTAGAATGTTTTATTCACTTATAAGGGAAACGTTATCGAAATAAAAGGTAGTTAATTGTCCAAGGCGGACCGAAACGTCTTCATAAATTTGTCTCCATGTGCGGGTTATTATAATATTCTTTAAAGGCTTGCTCTGTTTAGAGTGCTCTTCTGTACATGACGGCATATTTTTGCCTTTAAAACCTAAGAAATATAAATTGACTACGATATGATGTGGTCTTAGGAGGACTGTTGAGGTTGACAGAAAAAAAAATATAATGGTTTGAAAACCCAGTGGGAGGAAAGGGGTTTAAGGCAGCTTAGGAGATGCAAAGAGGATTAATTTAAAATACACATTTTATCACTTAAATATTAAATTTAGTATAAACGAATCAGGATTTTTTCTCGAGGTTGTCTCTAAGTGCTATATTTATGGTTTAAAAATTCGTACTTGTAAACCTGGGTAATAAATATGAAATGAAACAGACTAGGTGATTCAGTGGCAGTCAGATATATGTCGTGTGAGACGCTTTGTAAATATGAAATTACTTGCAAAATTAAATCTAATATCTCGACAAGTTTCGTCGAAAACTTGATAAATCTCATGTGTATATATATCCATGGGGAAGTGGAACAGAATTCTTCCTCCGTAAGCCATGCGTGTCGTAAGAGGCAACTAAAATGCCGGGAGCAAGGGGCTAGTATCCCCTTCTCCTGTATATATTACTAAATTTAAAAGGAGGAACTTTCGTTTTTCCTTTTGGGCCACCTCGCCTAAAATATATTTAGTTGAATTAGGCTAAATTAAATTGCGCTTGTTATAATAAGGTTAGGTACGTTTTTTAAGGTTCTTTTGGTACAAAATTATTAATTTTTACATTTACATAAATGAAAAAATATAAACTGGAAAAATACTAGACATTTCGGTCGGTTATGAACTATTATCAGATCTCATATGCGAGTTAGGTGAAATGTTCCAGCAACGTCACTGCTACTTTCAAACAAGTAAACACACCTGCCGCCTGGTAAACACATTATTCATATTTATATCTCACCCGTGGCCTGATCAACATACGTCATGAGTAGCATACCTGACACTCATCACTCAAAACATCGGCCACTCACACAAATCACCACAACACGGCGCTTGTAACAACAGTCAGATCACATGCTGAACACACCTGCCACCACGAAACAGCTGTCACACGGAAGATACGCATGTCAGCAGCACATCACGTGGAAACATATATACACAACACATAACCAGGAAACATATACTGTATATCAGTAATTATACATTGCCCGGAAATGTGCCTGTCAAAAGTACATCACCAAGAAATATCGACAGTAAATCAAGAAATGTGCCTGTCAACGGTACATCGTCAAGAAACGTGCTTGTCTAGAGTATATGACCAGAAAACGTTCTTGTCTACAGTGCATCACCTGGAAACATGCACACCAATAGTACATCACCTGGAAACATGCATATCAACAGTACATCACCTGGAAACATGGATACCAGCAGTACATCACCTGGAAACATGCATACCAACAGTACATCACCTGAAAACATGGATGCTAGCAGTACATCACCTGGAAACATGCATACCAACAGTACATCACCTGAAAACATGGATGCTAACAGTACATCACCTGGAAACATGCATACCAACAGTACATCACCTGGAAACATGCATACCAACAGTACATGACTCACCTGTCATCTGTATAATAGCATTTTTTTCACCCTGGCTGTTCTTGGCAATGCAGACATAAGCGCCGAAATCCTTATCGGAGACGTTCTTGATGGTGAGGATATGGCGGTGAGCGGCGTGAGTGAGACTCAAGTGGGTGTTGTAAGAGTCGTAGGAATCGTTCTGACGTCCTGGTAAATGTAACTTGGTGTCCATGTCGGTGTCCGGAAGTGGGTGTCCATCTCTGGTCCAAGTCACATCAGGGGCTGGACGTCCCCGCACCAGACACACTAGTTCTACGTTGTCTCCCTCTCCTGTCCGCACGATCGCCTGCAGAAAATTAAGTTTGTTAGGCCCTGTGGACTGCAAATAGGTAATTAATTTGTTATACGTCATAAGCTGTATTTGGGTATTAAGACCGCAATTCGTATGCGCAAAGGTAGTTTTGTAGTGTGTAATTTCCTCCGTATTTCCGTTCGTGTATCTTTGCGTTATGTAACGCACAACGGAAATCTAATATTTGTTGTTCTTGGTTAGGTTAGGTTAACTAGTATATTAACTTATATTTATGTATAATTAACCAACAATAACGAATCATATAAAAAAAAGCGAATGGCCTACTTATAGTGTTGATGATCTCATGAAAGATGCTTGTATCTGAAGCCAAGTTACAAGAACTTGCTGTATGTATTCCGACATAATATATACAAGACACTTTGTGCATTATTAGAATCTTTATTAAAAAACGTTTTGTTCCTGAGAGTTTTGCCATGTACAGATGAGGCTCAGTTAAACATAGAATATTTATTATAAGAAACATTTCATGCTGAGTGGTTTCTTTGGTCCTAATACAGAGTAAGCTAAAAAATAAAAAGGTCTTGTATAGTGGTCTGGGACCGGTGACGTAGCGGGGCTGGTTGCAGTAAGTGGGTATCACGTGACCGCCTATCCTAATATGGGTAATAATCTATTACCCAAGAGTTTGGAAACGCTGAAGCTCCCGGATTTGTTTCCTCTGGTGGCAAAATCCGGGAGCTTCAATGTATACAAACTTTCAGCCTGCAGGTTGTTACCCATACTAGGATGGTTATGTGATACGCACTTTTGACCGAAATAATGTGCATAACCAGGGACTTTTCATGTGTTCGTACATATTAAATGTCATCCTATTTTGTAAAAGCTGTTTTATATGGAAATAAATTATTATTATTATTATTATTATTATTATTATTATTATTATTATTATTATTATATTATTATTGCAATTTTCTCCATCACACCGCTACAGTGTCACATGTACTATACCACTGTATAACACTGTTTTTAAGCTTACTCTATATTAGGACTGAAGAAACCACTAACGATGATACGTTTACTTTAATGAATCTTCTAAACTGTACATAAGTGTTTTTATCCACATCATGTGCTCATTATACTATCTAAAACTATAGGAGACAGAGTTTGCTTAGTGTAGATTTTCTGGTACATTGATCTTCAGCTGCACGATAGAGCTGATGAGTTGGCCCGAGTTGGCTAATGTATACTGGCGTGTGCTGGCTTATGCTGGCTTATGCTTTTAAGGATGGAGTTGATCATAATTCTGGTTTGTGATCAGCCTGAGAGTGTAGAAATACCATCTATTTTAGGTAGCAAGGTGAGCAGTTACGTAGCGTGTTTGCCTCGCGTTTTACAAACCGAGGATCAAACCCCCACTACTTCCTGTGGCGAATGCCCCACACGGGATCGGGGTTTAATGTGAAAGGTAAATCTGCCAGGCTGAAGACGTAACGCGTAAGGAACTCTAAATGAACTTCATCGACCTGAGACAAAGCTAAAGAAACATTACTCAGTACGGTTACCATCTATGAAAATGTTGCTTAGTGATCAGAGGTTTCGATTTACAACCGAAAGGGCCCACCTTCGATTTCTGGGCAGGACGAGAATTTCAATTTCATTAATCCTGTACAGAGAATATAAAACTACATGTAATGGATCAGGTCAGGTGGTGCTCGGAACTAGGTGATGGCTGTTTTCTTGGTAGAATGTATTTTTGCAAGTATTTCTGAAATCATAAAACTCTGTGTTTTGAGCACTCCTATCTTGAAATACTTGCCAAATATCCTACCTGAGCAGAACGCATTCATAACCTAGCTCGCTCTCCTGCCTGTGCAGCACCTTAGCAAACCCACTAATATTCATCTGTGTGAATCACTATTTATATATAACCTTAAGAATTTGGACAGGTCTCCGTACACCTCTTCTCCTAGCAGTTAATTGGTACCTGTATGTTAGTCGCATCCCGGTAGACAGTATACCATAGCTAGGAACAAACTTCAGAACGAGCTAAAGTAACAGTTAGGTCTTTGCCTGTCAATATTAGGTTAAAATAAGCATTTTACTACTAAATTAGTTCATGTTACAGTGAACCTAGTAAGACTAATACAGATCCCAGTATTGTGAGGTCTGCTGAGTTTAAAGCACAATTTAATCCAGTACGGGTGTTTAAGAGACCTTTCTATCTGTTAACTACTAGACTAGGCATCCTTCAAGGGAGATGGGAGTCCCTTGATTCATAATTCGCTTACCTTCTTCAGATCTATCCTGATTACCTCCCATTTCCCAGACGCGGTATAACTTCAACGAGTTCAGTGCTCTCCCGTAATAATAATAATAATAATAATAATAATAATAATAATAATAATAATAATAATAATAATAACAACAATAATAATACCAGATATAACAAAGATTGACCTTCTCCGTGGTAATTTCCGGAGGATACTCCACGGTGATGGACATGGCGGCTGAGGCTGACTCTCCGATGCCATTGTCGGCGGTGCAGAGGTAGGTGCCCTCTACGTGACGGTCTACACCCTCCAGCGTCAGACTGTCTCCCTGTAACATGAATAACAGGCCACTTCCTTAATTGAGTCAAGGAAACGAAGGCAAGAATTGCTCACCCCTTCCCCTGTAATTGCTGTTTGACCCACACGGGTTTAACTCTTTAATAGAATAATAATAATAATAATAATAGTCTGGGTACTGGAGGTGGGAAAGGCAGTGCCTGCACACCGACGTTGGGTGGGGATATTGCAGTTGGAAGGGGAATCTGACTGGGATGGCACATTTCTGGAAAGACGGCGATTAAGTGAATGTTAGTGAATATGTTTTCTTCACTGGGTCACCTTTCCATGGCGGGAGACAGCTGTTAGAGTTAATTAAAATAGCAGAAGTAGTAGTAATAATACTACTCTACTTTGGGTCATTAGCTTTCATAGATGAAATAATGAAAAAGCTTTATATGATACAGCCTTTAATATAAGGTACTCAGTACCTTTTATTGGTAAACCTTTGAAAATTCCAAGGACCACGTTTTAAAATTCGTATCTGCCGTATCAGATAAACCTTCTTAAAATTCTTCCTTGACTAAAAAAAAATCAATATTATCATTCTCAGGTCCAGAACAGACCTGAGAATGAAGATTGAGACACATGCAACATATGGGAATCTTTATTAAGGATACGTTTCACCACACTGACTTCATCAGTCCAATACAAAGCAGAGAAGGGTAAAGCGAAGAGGAGTTTGAGATAATCAGTCCCTCAGCCTGGAATCGATGTGTTCAGTCCATCACTCTTGTAGAATGATTCCCATATGATGCATAAGTGTCTCAATCTTCAACTTGTCGGTCTTGAAAACTATTTATCACAGACCTGAGAATGTTGATGGTTGTATCCAAGATCATTTTGCACAAAAAGTGATATATTTAAAATATGATTAACTAAAAAAAAGAGTTTACCTGGAGAGAGTTCCGGGGGTCAACGCCCCCGCGGCCCGGTCTGTGACCAGGCCTCCTGGTGGATCAGAGCCTGATCAACCAGGCTGTTACTGCTGGCTGCACGCAATCCAACGTACGAGCCACAGCCCGGCTGGTCAGGTACCGACTTTAGGTGCTTGTCCAGTGCCAGCTTGAAGACTGCCAGGGGTCTATTGGTAATCCCCCTTATGTATGCTGGGAGGCAGTTGAACAGTCTCGGGCCCCTGACACTTATTGTATTGTCTCTTAACGTGCTAGTGACACCCCTGCTTTTCATTGGGGGGATGTTGCATCGTCTGCCAAGTCTTTTGCTTTCGTTGTGAGTTTAAGTTTAAGATTAAAAATAACAAATATAACTTTAAATGGGACTAAGATTCGAATGTTATATCTAAATGTAAATCAGTTGCCGAACAAACTGTAATAAAGTAAGCAGAAAAGGTAGCGCTAACACTAACATCAGCCCAAGACTTTGCAAGCTGGTTTAATTTAATATTAATGAAATCTGTAGAAAATTTAATCTTTGCTGACAAGACAAGATTACTCTTGACCTGATCTGACCTGTAAACCTGACTTGGTTCACAAGTGATGCACTTATTGAGTTGTACAATATTTCAGATGTATACACTAAATATTGCAATTATCCTTCGAAAGGATCATCATACGAACAAGACAATAATCAGGTGATTTTTTCTCTGACAAATATATATAAAAAGAACAATTCTCTGTATTCTTTGAGAATTGATTAATATATTACCAAAGCATTTGATATTTACTTTTCAATGCTAAAATACTACTTAATATGGTAAAAATGTATAATCATGTCCCTGGTGTGACTAACCTCTTCGGTGCGTAGGCCTGAGGGAAGGGGACCTTCCTGACGGGACCATCTGATAGTGGGCTCTGGATTACCCTGTGCTTTGCACTTCAGGATAACAGTTTTGCCTTTGGCTACGTGTTGCTCTGGGGGAGCCAGGGACCTGATGGTGGGCGCAAACTGTACATTCAGGGTGTGTTCCAGCTGTATGGGCGGATCCATTTCGAACATGCAGAGGAAGATACCGGCGTCGCGTGGACGGACCGGGGAAATGTTGAGACGGGACCCATCCACGGTGATGCGACGGTCCCGGATCACCCTTTGAAGCCCAACCGACACCAATTTTTCCTTCCCGCCGTTGGAAGAAATTTTCTTGATGATGAGCTTATTCGTACCTGCAAGGGTTTAGAGCGAGTCTTAAGCTATGGCCAGATTGAGATGTTTGTGTCTCCTGGCCAAAGATGTAAAATATAATTAATTAGTAGGGGGTCAATATTTGTGTGAGCTTGCATAGTTGAATGATTACTTAGAAATAAGTTCGAAAACAACATATTCGAGCATGAGTGGTTAGCAGAATTGTAGTGTAAAAACAAGGCAGTTTGACACTTTCCTTTTATGATTTGTAGGACTATTCCACTTGTTTTCTCTTTAATTACTATACAGAAATCCCCTGAAAATGACTGTACTCATTATCACTCCTGTTAATTTAGTCTATGTGTTTACAATTGTATCTGATCATTAGGTCAAAGGTATGCAGTATCGACAAGTTGCTGAACAATACTTGAGTATTTTAATTGGAGAGACGTTTCACCTGTGCAACAGGTGAAACGTGTGTGGAATATCGATACTCAGGTGTTGTGTTGCGCATGTTTTCTATTCATTAGCTGTGTCTGAGCCTACATCTTTTACATTTTTTTTGGACTTCTTTAGTCATATTTAGGATTTAGGATCCTACTTACATTTGGTTACTGGACTTTGATATCACTATCTTCTTTCCATACTCGTCATGGACTCTAGTTTTCCTTGGCTTGGGTCTCGTTTTGACTGAATGTAGCCTCATAGGCTATGGTAGAGATTTGGGCTCCTTTTTTGCAAGGTAATTCATTTTCATATGTAACAAGGGGATTGGTGGAGATTACCCGAGAGTAGTAGGAAGAGAGGGGGCGCATAGATGTTGCGTCTGGATAAGGCTCAAGGAGTTTATATTCATTATTGTAACCTTTACTTAATATTACATTGAGTATCTTCGTTGGTAGCTAAAAGGAAGATGTTTGACTTTGTATTACTATCTACTCATCTTCCTGCTAATTGTTATTAATATTACTGTTATTATTAGTTATGTTATAGGTAGGAATATTTATGGAAGGTAACTGCTGATATAGTGGTTCGGCAACGGTTGTTACAAGTTTAGTGTCTGGAGTTGACACGACGGTCCAAGTCTCATGACCCTACCTGACCTAGGGTATACAGCATGTGCTCTTGTCAGTATGGTTCTGCTCAGGGTCGAGCAAACATATTGGTGGTATTAAGGGTCTTGCTTTGGTTCAGAGCTCTTCCGAGCACAGTCTTCCACGACTCGTTGTTTTGAGGTTGTCCTGCAGTATTGCGTTCTGTAGGTTTCTTTGTTTAGAGACAGGTCCACTTGGGGACCTAGCGTCAGTTGAGACTGAAGTCTTACTAATTTAAGTTGAGTTTAAGGCTTGGATGCCCCAGGAATGGGGAGTGACAATTAGGTGTTCGATTTCTTGGTCACAGGCTTAAGGTAACTTAGCTAATATCGAGTGTTAAACATAGTTTCCTTTAAGGCATCAGTCCACCATTACGTTATGATGCCCCTGTGTGTGTGTGTACATAAGTATTATCTATTATAGGGTGTTTATTCTGTATGTAACCTTACATAGCCTAAATTGTCTACGAAGCCAAAAGGAAAAGGCTTTATAACGGTCTATTGTCTGTCAAGAGAAAAATAGAGAGTATTGTTCAAAATACATAATATTACTGATGGCCGCACGCAAACTGACGTACAAAGAAAGCCAGGGGTCTATTGGTAATCCCCCTTACGTATGCTCGGAGACAGTTGAATAGTCTTGGGCCCTGACACTTATTGTGTTGTCTCTCATTGTACTCGAGATGCCCCTGTTTTTCATTGGGGGAATGTTGCATCTTCTGCCGAGTCTTTTGTTTTCATAGGGAGTAATTTTCGTGTGCAGGTTTGGTACTAATCCCTCTAGGATTTTCTGAGTATATATTATCATGCATCTCTCTCGCCTGCATTCCAGGGAATGCAAATCAAGGGACTTCAACTGTTCCCAGTAATTTAGGTGCCTTGTCGTACTTATGTGTGCCGTGAAAGCTCTTTGTACACTCTCCAGGTCAGCAATATCGCCTGCCTTAAAGGGGGCAGTTAGTGTACAGCAGTATTCCAGCCTAGAGAGAACAAGCAATTTGAAGAGAATCATCATGGACTTTGCATCCCTGATTTTGAAGGTTCTCATTATTCATCCTTTCATTTTTCTAGCAGATGCGGTAGTTACATTGTTGTGGTCTTTGAAGGCGAAATCATCTGACATCATCACTCCCAGGCCCTTCATATTACTTTTTCGCTCTGTTGTATGGTTAGAATTTGTTGTATACCCTGATACAGTTTTAATTTCCTCAAGTTTTCCATATCTGAGTAGTTGAAATTTCTCTTCATTGAACTTCACAATGTTTTGAGTGACCCATCTGAAGATTTGGTTGATATCCGCTTGGAGTTTTGCGGTGTCTTTGATGGAGAACACTGTCATGGCAATTCGAGTATCATCTGCAAAGGAAGACATGGAGCTGTGGCTCACATCTCTATGTCAGATATGAGGATGAGGAATAGGATGGGAGAAATTACTGTGCCTTGTGAAACAGCTGTTTCACTGCAGCTGCCTCGGACTTTACTCTGTTTACTATTACTCTTTGTGTTCTGTTTGTTAGGAGGTTATAGGTCCATCTACCAACTTTTCCTGTTATTCCTTTATCACGCATTTTGTGCGCTATTACACTGTGGTCACACTTGTCGAAGGCTTTTGCAAAGTTTGTGTATACTACATCTGCATTTTGTTTATCCTCTACAGCATCCAGGACCTTGTGATAGTGGTCCAGTAGCTGGGACAAGCAGGACCAACCTGCTCTAAACCCGTGTTGCCCTGGATTGTGTAACTGATAGGTATCTAGGTGGTTGGCGATCTTTCTTCTTAGAACCCTTTCAAAGATTTTTATGATATGAGATGTTAGTGCTATCAGTCTGTAGTTCCTTGCAATTTCTTTACTGCCACCTTTGTAGAGTGGGGTATGTCTGTTGTTTTTAGTGAGTGTGGGATGACTCCTGTGTTCATGCTCCTTCTCCATAGAATGCTGGAGGCACATGACAGGGGCTTCTTGCAGTTCTTGATGAACACGGAGTTTCCTGAGTCTGGGCCTGGGGCAGAGTGCATGGCATGTCATTTATTGCCTTTTCAGAGTCTTGTGGTGTTAAGGATTTTTGAGATGACCAAATTTTGGGTGTTGTTCATAAAGAATTCATTTAGATTGTTGACCCTTAGTCTGGGTAACGGCTCGCTAAACACTGAGTCGTATTGGAACTTTAGTATCTCCTTGTCTCTTGTAAGATTCCTTCAGCTTAAGTTCGACATTTGCTATTTCACTGACCAGTGCCTCCCTTAATATTTCAGATATATTGACCCCTCCCAGCAGCTCTGTGATTCCTTGCATTCGTCTGTATAGAGAGCATTTCTCTCTTTCTAGTTTACATTTTCTTTTTCTGAATGGAATGTGCCTTGAGCAGACCTCAAGAACCACAGAGATCATTTTTTTCTAGGCAAAGGTTCGGATCTGTGTTGTTTAGGATATCTTCACAGCTTGTTTCATTTAGGACATGGTTGACTTTTTCCCATTGTATGTTTTTTTTATTGAATTTGAATTTTATGAAGATACCCTCATGACTGACCACATTTTGCTGGTCAGGAGCCTTGTGCATACGTATCTGTACCTGTGTTATGTTGTGATTTGAGTGTATTGTCTTTGATACAGTTATATTATGTATCAGATCGTCGTTATTAGTGAAGATGAGGTCCAACATATTTCCTAGTTTTGTAGGCTCTAATATTTGCTGGTTTAAGGTGAATTTGGTGCAGAGATTTAATAGCGCATGTGTGTGTGAATTTTTATCTAAGCTGCCTCCTGGGGTGATCTCTGCTAAAATATTATTTGCTACACTCCTCCATTTTAGGTGTCTCAGGTTGAAATCTCCCAGTAGCAAGATGTTTGGGGCAGGAGTTGGGAGATTTTTCCAGACAGTGGTCAATTTTCAAAAGCTGTTCCTGGAATTGTTGGAAAGTTGCGTCTAGAGGCTTGTATACAACCACAATGAGAAGGCTTTGGTTTTCAATCTTTACTGTCAAAACTTCAACTACCTCATGTGAGGTGTTTAGTAGTTCTGAGAAAATGAGCGACTCTGTGACGTACAAGCCAACCCCCTTCCCCTTGTTGCCTGTTTAGTCTGTCGCATCTGAATTGGTTATAACCTGGAATCCATATTTCGTTGTCAAAATAATTCTTTATGTGGGTTTCTGTGAAAGCTGTAAACATTGCATTTGACTCCGTGAGCAGTCCCTTGATGTAAGGAATTTTGTTGTTTGTTGACAGCTTTAGACCCTGTATGTTAGCAAAGACAAATGTCGTTATATTGATGGAATTTAGGGGGGGCTTTGTTTGCTGGCTTTAATATCTGTTGTTCTGAAGTGGAGGCCAATGACTGTGCCTCTGCTCCAGAAGTGTTTTCAGTTTGTGTAAGATTTCTGTCATTTCTTGCCAATGTTTTTTCCTTCCTGGCACCAAAAAAAAATTTCTATGGAGAAGTTATGGCTCCCCCCTTTTGTTGCCTATAGTCTGGCTGGTCTGTGTCATCTTGTCCCCTTTAGATGATGTGCCTGGCAGTATACATTGTAGCATTTTCTTTCATGGAGTGACGAATGACACATTTCGGGGTTAAATAAGTTACAGGTAGGGGAGTTGCACCCTCCTGTTGTCATGTGGATGTGGCATT